CCTACTTTGGGGGCCAAGGTCGCCGTTATTATGTGCAACATTGTGCGACATTAGGCGACATTGGCAATTTTCAAAGAAAAGTAGTGTGCGTCGCTGGGCGAAACTGAGCGGCATTGGGCGACATTAGGCGACATTGGACAAAACTGAACAGTAATATCCAGATAACGTCAAATATTATAATTCACAAATTATGCATCTACATAGAAAATACAACTGACAGTAAATATCAAAATATAATTTAGTTATCAAAAATTGGTTCCTGTGGCAAAGAACACAATTAGTTTATTACAAATAGCAAAAATAACAAGGAACATTTCTCTAATGCATGAGTCAATTCCAGGAGTAACCATCCCCCCCCCCCTGGAACACACCCGGGGATTTGATTTGATTGGTTATGATAGTGTAAATGCCCGGGTGCCGGAACACAACTTGAAGACTAATGCACGGCCCCTGGGCAAGCTGAGAGTGGAAAATGCCCCACCCGGGCGACGATTTTACAGTCGATTTCACGAAACTTTGACCACAGATGTTCCGAACTTCGTTGCTAAGTTCGCAAGTTTGTTGCAAAGTTCGGAAGTTCATATTGGAATTCACAAGCCAATTTGTAAACAAAGTCCCTGATTGGTCCGTGAAGTAAAAGAAGCCATGCAATCAAATGAGTAGTTCACGAATCTCATTATAAACTTTTGAACTTCGCAACAATCTTGTGAACTTCGCAAAGAAGTTCGGAATATTTGTGGTCAAAGTTTTGTGAAATCGACTGTAAACGTCAATTAAACTTTTAATGGCATATACTTATAGTCAATTAATAACATTATAGTATTAAAATGCTATGGAATATTATAAAACATAAACCTTTAATAGTTGTATTTAAATTTGCATGGCACAGGGTATAATTTTCGCTTATTCTTACAATAAATTTCACGCCACCTTGACCACGAGGGCGCAAAATACGATCAGCGCGCCCACATGCTTGCCTGAAACTATGTTTTGCTGCCTTAAAATTTGTGGGTGGGATTCTGGGCAACCATTTGTCAAATCCCCGGGGTCCTCCAATACCCGGCCCCCGTGCACATATATGAAAGGCAAATTCCCGACACCTGTGAACTGTCTATCGGGCAAATTCCCGGGGGTGGGGTTACTCCAGGAATTGAGTCATGCATAACTGCTAGCCTGACAATTTACTCAAAGTTTATACCGTAGTACACATACATGCCCAGTGCATGGTACATTTACAGTATCATGGAATTCTGACTTCTTATTAAATTGACTGATGTAAACACCTCATAGAGTTTTAAAACCTGTTTATGGACTGTGGTATGCAGTGATGGAAGTGAAAGAATTGGCATTTAAGGTAAATAAATTGTCAGCTAGCTAGCTAGCTATCATAAACGTGTACAATGTAAATCATGTACCACCATAACCATGCTTGAAATCTAACCCACCAAACTGGCAAACAAATATCTCAAATAGTGATAACTATAAATATTATAGTTTCAATAAAAAATGGAACTTACTTTCAAAGCAAACAGATAGAAAAAAGTTTAATCCATATACATTTGTATAACTATACTGACTTACTTTACTAAAATTAGATGACAGTTCCTTTACTTTAACTGAACTAATAAATAATTAAATTCCTTTTATCCAAAACCTCAGAGACCTGTTCTTGTTCGGCTGGGATTTGAGCCCGCAATACCACGGCACGTCTAATTTAATGGTTTAGCTTCTAACTTGTACTACTTCGTGTAAGGAAGCATAATAATTGTTATGGCGGGCCTTGGCGACATTTTATATAAACAACCTGTACCGTAGATCTTTCTGTGGTGCGTTCATTGCTCTGTATCTTTTGCGATGATACCTAATTATGAGATGTCGATCATCGTAGCTTCGTCGAAAAGTAAGTACTTTTATTTTACAAACTACAAAGTCGTATTGGGCTATTCCATTTAATATCCGTACCCCCCCCCCCTGTCGAGAATCCCTGGAATTCTTCAAGGGTAAAGGGTTTTGAGATTGGAATTCTTCAGGGGTAAAGTGTTTTGAGCTTGGAATTCTTCAGGGGTAAAGTGTTTTGAGTTTGGAATTCTTCTGGGGTAAATGGTTTTGAGCTTGGAATTCTTCAGGGGTAAAGGGTTTTGAGCTTGGAATTCTTTAGGGTAAAGAGGTTTGAGATTGAAATTTTTCAGAGCTTGTAATTCTTCAGGGGTGAAGGGTTTTGAGCTTGGAAATCTTCAGGGGTAGAAGGTTTTGAGATTGAAATTCTTCAGGGGTAAAGGGTTTTGAGCTTGGAATTCTTTAGGGGTGAAGGGTTTTGAGCTTGGAATTCTTCAGGGGTAAAAGGTTTTGAGCTTGGAATTCTTCAGGGATAAAGGGTTTTGAGCTTGGAATTTTGGAATTCTTCAGGGGTAAAAGGTTTTGAGCTTGGAATTCTTCAGGGGTAAAGAGTTTTGAGCTTGGAATTTTGGAATTCTTCAGGGGTAAACAGTTTGAGTTTGGAATTCTTCAGGGGTATGACAATGAAAAACATGTATCCTCGACAGGGGGGGTACGGATATTAAATGGAATAGCCCATTTTGAACATACTATAGATGACTTTCTTTATTTATAGTCTATATAATATACATATATATATTCCTGATGATTCCTATACGGATGAAACAGACTGTTGTGGTTTTTTGAGGTAAAACGAAAAACTATATATATATATATATATATATATATATATATATATATATATATATATATATATATATATATATACTACCGACGGTACCGTTTCGGCCTTTAGGATACCTAGTGTACTTCACTAGGCTAGTGAGAGGTATTCTGTACTTTTGCACTCACCAGTTATCATGAATGTATCTTTGATAATAAGATCTAAGTTTGATTTCATATACAACATTTAATGGCATGTGATTGACTAATTTGACTGAGTTTCACAAAGAAACACATTGGAGAAGATAGCCAGAAGGCTGCCTTAACAACATAATTTAGGTAATTCTCATTGGAATAATGTGTTGTAATTCATATACATATAAACGCCAAATAACCAAGCCTCATTAATACTGGTGAGAGATGGTGCCCTAACAGCACATGCCCTTGGTGTTTGTGTACATGTATTTATGAAAAAAACATGCAGGAAACTAACAAATAAATAAGGAATAGACTAGTATGGATGACAAACTCAAAGTGCAAAATTGGGCATGCTTGTGTGAGATTATGCAACATTAGGCGAAATTAGGCGACATTAAGCGAATAGACTGTTAGGCAAAGTTCAAAAATTGGGTGCACATGGGCGAAAGTGGGCGAAATTAGGCGACATTAGGCGAAATTAGGCGACATTAGGCGACCTTGGCCCCCAAAGTAGGCCTAAAGTTGGCGTAACCGAATTTAGCAAAGCGTTCAATGTCAACCTGCATGACCCGTGTGTTTACCCGAGGGGCATTTTAAATATTCCACGATTTAATGCAGGAATCTAACTGGGTTTTTGGAGATGAAAAGGATATTTTAGTTTCCATTACAGCGCCAACACTCTAGGTATCCGCTCTTTTTTTCGGACTGAGTTATAAAATGTACACTTATGATTTCACATGATAGATGTAGATATAAACGTACAAAAATGGGAAATGTTTTGCACATGGATTCAGGGGCGAAACTAGCCTCTATTAATTACGGAGGTGTCTGTCAGAATTGCCCTGCCAAAACAACTGATGCCCTGCAGCCTGCAGCGCCAGCGCTAATACAATACATCACTATACATGTATAATCGAACTCCTGATGCCAAAATACATGCATACGAACTGCCCTTTGTTTGCTAGCTGTAATAAGTTCTTAATAACTCTAAATTCTATCATTTAAAATCTTTGATTGCCCTGCCAATCGGGATGATTCGTTTTTGTGTCTTTTTTGGTTTTTCGGTGTTTTTTTTTGGGGGGGAAGGGGTGGTACACCACAAGTTTCGCCCCTGCATGGATTGCGAGGGAAGATACCAATTTTATATATTGCATGTTTTCCATTGACTGATATACTCTATGGAAATAAAATGTAGTTGGCCAAATTACAATTACTGTCAGGTTTATTGAGATAAAAAAACTAACCCGTTAAAGGGTAGTAGCAACAAAAATTTCTACAAAAATTTCAACAAAAATTTCACGGAAATTTTTCTTATCCTTCGGGCTTTTGACATTGCTATATTATAAAAAAAATATAAAACATTTTTTCCGTATTGATATATAGTTATATCAACACTCGTGGAAGTTGGGAAAACTCGAAATTGTATGAAAACACTCCGCCTTCGGGCGTCGTGTTCCACACAATTTCTCGTTTTTCCAATTTCCACTCGTGTTGATATAACTGTATATCAACACGGAAAATGTTTTATATTTGTTAAATATATATAATATACAATAATATGTTTTAATATATATTTATAAATATATTTATAAATATATTTATAAATATATTTATAAATATATATATATATATATATATATATATATATATATATATATATATATATATATATATATATATATATATATATATATATATATATATATATATATATATATATATATATATATATATATATATATATATATATATATATATATTAATATATTATTTTACCATTAAAATATTAATATTTTGTACCCAGCTTGTGACGTCATAATTTGCATATAAAGGACATTGAAATATATCAATATCTGTTCCATTACCATTTCACAAGCTCTTTCAGATGAAAGAAACGTAATTTTGATATTTGCTGTGTTGGTGTAGTGTACTCAAGTGAATAAGATGGTTGTGATGTTACTCTGAGTGTATATATCTACATCGGGCAGGCTTGAAAAACATTCCCGGCCACAGTGGGAATCGAACCTACGACCTTTGAAAAACTAGCCCAATGCTCTGCCAACTGAGCTACGCGGTCAGGTCGGTTCGAATATGTGATACTTCAGAACTGAGTCTAGTTCCTTCGATATCAGTGTAATCTAATAATCATGATATTTGCTGTGTTGGTGTAGTGTACTCAGGTGAATATGTTTGTGATGTTACTCTGACTGTATATCCAAACTGGGCAGGCTTGAAAAACATTCCCGGCCACGGTGGGAATCAAACATACGACCTTTGGATACTAGCCTAATGCTCTACAAACTGAGCTATGCGGTCAGGTCGGTTCGAGTATGTGATACTTCAGAACTGAGTCTAGTTCCTTCGATATCAGTGTAATCGAATAATCATGATACTTGCTGTGGTGGTGTAGTATACTCAGGTGAGACAGGTGAATAAGATGCTTGTGATGTTACTCTGAGTGTATATCCACACCGGACAGGCTTAAAAAATATACCAGGCCACGGTGGGAATCGCACCTACGACCTTTGGATACTAGCCCAATGCTCTGCCAACTGATCTACGCGGTCAGGTCGATCGGTTCGAGTTTGTAATACTTCGGAACTGAGTCTAGTTAATTCGATATCAGTGTAATCTAATAATCATGATATTTGCTGTGTTGGTGTAGTGTACTCAGGTGAATAAGATGCTTGTGATGTTACTCTGCAGGGGCGGATTTAGACCGTTGCAACTGTAGCATATGCTACGGTCAGATTTTCCATAGGCCAGTTCTAACATGGATCATAAAATCAATCTAAAATATAATTTAGCAATATTTTGTTTACTTTCCTTGTTTATATTTCAAGGTTTTATTTTATTTAGTTTTATATGTTTAATAAAACATTTTATTTTGACAAATTGATGACAATGATACGTAACGTTAATTGTTTTAAGAATTCCCGCCCGAAAATACGCTTGTAATTGCCCGTTTGCGGGTCATTACGCAATGGACTATAGCTTAGAAAATATCATCCTTCAGAAATACACCGTAGCGTGTTGCCCATATATGATCAATTTTCGCTACGGTCAGATTCATCAAGGTCGAATCTGACCGTAGCGAAAATTGGCATATACAACAAACGTAGCAAACCAATCAGAATGGGGCAAATGCTATAGTTTGCTACGGTGGCATGAAATTGGCTACTGCTCCAGAACGATGGAATATCTGATATTTGTGTTTGCCTAATTGGCTCATCAACAAGATGCTATTGGGACCCACATTACGGTTGTGCGCATTCCGAAATGAAAGCCGTCGCAAAGCTAATGAATATATATGCGTCGAGGTAGAAATAAAATCAGATAGTAAAACGAATCATTTCCAGTCAGGTAAGCCTTATGAATAATAAGAGACGCACACTAATATTTTAATTTGAATTTTTACTGCATAGTGTTCGCTATTAACTTCGCTTTATTAAAGTGTTTGTGCGCGTATGTACATGCAGTATACCTGCATGTATTGGAATTAATACGCGAATTATGATACGCGCGTATATATATCGTGTTTTATAGCGCCCTAATATTTGTTTGTAATGCGTATATATTCGGAAGATACGCGTATTCGTATGATACGCGCGTTTGTAGATGATACGCGTATTTCGGTATTCAATTGATAATGATATGCGTATGATACGAGTATCATACCGGTATCGTATGATAAGATATACGCGAGCGACACTTTACATTTTGAGATCTTTCCGGCTTATTTTTGCTTGAGAAATGAATACTTGCATGTTTTGGAAAGAGTTAGTTCGTTATCCTCAAGCAGTATTCCTTGTTATATCGTTTCTCTCGTTATATATGAGTTTAAAAGTTGGTTTAGTGTCAAGTAGTATCTTATGACTTGCCTCTGAGGACAAGGAAACAACTCGTTCCTATATTATCATTATGTTTGTTGTTGTTAAGTTTTAAAGGGGCTGCAGTAATTGGCTTGCGCTGTTGCAGATTCCCTGCCATGTGCTAATAATTAATATTTGTACAAGGGCTAAGCTATTAAATAAATAATGAGGACAAATTTAGGCCCTTTCTCGATATATGAGCAACCGAAATAGCCCAATCATAATATAAGCAGAGGGATTGCAAAGATATACACTATATTTAACCGTACCTATCTATAACACTCCATAGGTATCTACAACACTCCATAGCTATCTATAACACTCCACTGGCATCCATAACACTCCATAGCTATCGATAACACTCCACTGGTATCCATAACACTCCATAGCTATTTGTAACACTCCAGTGGTATCCATAACACTCCATAGCTATCTGTAACACTCCACTGGTATCCATAGCACTCCTTAGCTTTCGATAACACTCCACTGGTATCCATATCACTCCATAGCTATCTATAACACTCCACTGGTATCCATAGCACTCCATAGCTATCGACGACACTCCACTGGTATCCATAAGACTCCATAGCTATCTATAACACTCCACAAGTATCCATAACACTCCATAGCTATCTATAACACTCCAGTGGTATCCATAGCACTCCATAGCTATCGATAACACTCCACTGGTATCCATAACACTCCATAGCTATCTGTAACACTTCACTGGTATCCATAGTACTCCTTAGCTTTCGATAACACTCCACTGGTATCCATAACACTCCATAGCTATCTATAACACTCAACTGGTATCCATAGCACTCCATAGCTATCGACGACACTCCACTGGTATCCATAAGACTCCATAGCTATCTATAACACTCCACTGGTATCCATAACACTCCATAGCTATATATAACACTCCACTTGTATGCATAGCACTCCATAGCTATCGACAACACTCCACTGGTATCCATAACACTCCATAGCTATCTATAACACTCCACTGGTATCCATAACACTCCATAGCTATCGATAACACTCCACTGGTATGCATAACACTCCATAGCTTTCTATAACACTCCACTGGTATCCATAACACTCCATAGCTATCTATAACACTCCACTGGTATCCATAGCACTCCATAGCTATCGATAACACTCCACTGGTATCCATAACTCTCCATAGCTATCTATGACACTCCACTGGTATCCATAACACTCCATAGCTATCTATAACACTCCATAGGTATCTATAGCACTTCATAGGTATCTATAACCCACCACTGGTATCTATAACGCTCCATAGCTATCTATGGCACTCCAGAGGTATCTATAACACTCCGGAGGTATCTATAACGCTCCAGAGGTATCTATAGCACTCCATAGCTATCTATAACACTCCATGGGTATCTATAACACACCAAGACAGTTACTTGCGCAGTTTCGACGCTATCGATACAAAACACATTTTTACAATACGTATTAGTAGCAGATATGTAAATTTCGTGATGTGCTTGTAAGAAAAGGATCCAGCTGAATAACATCAATTATTGAACTCGCGGTAAAAGTAGCCGACTTTTAACGATACCCACACAAGATTATTACACTAGATAGAAAAATCATGAGTTTATTAATTAATTAATATTTTTTATATATAGTTGAAATGTATACAAGCTATTTGTATGATCTGCAGCAAGTGTTTGTTGTGACCTTCGCTGAAGCGGATGCCAAAATCAACGATCTGTTCTATATTGCCTGTCAGGATTAAATGCCGCTCTACTTTATTTTGTTTGCCGATATTAAATTGCTACTATTCCTGTGTGTGCAAATTGTCTAAGGTACTTATATTGTTGTCTCATGAGATGTTCGTCTGAGACTAACATGTCGTAATGTGCCTCTATGAAAATAATATAGAATTGCCGGAGAGGAAACATACTTTTTATGTTCAGATCATTGAATATATTCTCTATTTTGCGTTTCTGTCTTAGTCATACTAATGGTTTTGTTATTAAAGCTGATTATGCATTAACGTGACAGAGTGACATACCGACCAGATCAAACTATCCTCCTGAAGCTATTTAAATGTTCAATACAGACGATTCTCCAATAAATACACCAAAAGCTACCCCGCTTTCTACGGACCAAATTATATAGGTGCGAATATATACGGACCAAATTATGGACCAAATTATATAGGTGGGAATATATACGTTTAGTATGCATGCATGCATAAATAATTCGTATGAATTGTGAATATCTCAATAACATCTGACTGATTAAACTGTTGTCAACAGACATCCAGTAATGGCCATTTTTGTTAGGATCAGTTGAGGTCAGTCGTTGATTTTTAGGCCTAGTCCTGTTTTTTTCCCACAAAACAGCTCGATCATTTTGATCCCAAACCAATATGCAACAGCACAAAGTTGGCGTAACCGAAGCAAAGTGTTCAATTTGGCTTTGTCGACCTGAGTCTTGTGTTTACTTGAGGGGTATTTTAGTACTTAAGGAGGCTCCGTACAGTAGCATGCGGGATGTTCGCGGGTCCAGTACGTGGACTATCCCACGCAACCGTACGATCAAAACGAAACAATAAATGAACGGGCTACTTTTTAATGCTATTTCTGAAAGGTTTCTAATGTGAAAAAAGCGTTGAATAATCCTTCGTTTTGAGTGCCAAATCAATTGCGAGTCAATACAGCAATTCTGCTTATATAATAACTACAGTGAAACACGTAATTTGATTGGTCAACAGCCGTGGAGGATCAGACAATCTTGCTTGGGAAATTCTGAACAGAAATTCTTGGACATAATTTTACAAATATACTCGCATTGTAAAGTTTCATTGTATGACACCTTTCGACTTTGAAGTAAGTTTGCAATTATTGAGACGTTGGTTTAGTTGTATGAATAAATTTCTGATCGATACATTGCTGTCCAGCAAGTAGCAACGCGTAGCGTTGAAATTCATCAGACCATGACAAGTACAAGTGTACAACATCTTTCGCTTCAAAATTCAAACGCTTCGCAATCTTCAAGTACTCAGGTCGAGAATCTCCAAAACTACTTTGGCTCTCTGTTTAGCGTGTTTTCCATTTCAAATTTCGTATATTTTATCGAAAAGTCTCTGTATTTTCGCTGTATATTTTCGCGAATTTTCTATCAAATTCTGTCCACATTTGTTATTGTTTTCATTAGCGTGGAGTAGCGATTCTCCGATTGGTTAATTCACGATTGTTGTGAGAATTGCACATTTCATCAGTAATTCTAATCAAGTTTACCGTCGTTTCACTGTAGTAATTTTATAAAACAATTACCAAATGGTTTTCCCGTGCAGGATAGCATGATCCATGCACTTGGGATGTTGCTCGACTTTCGGAAAGCGTAAAAATACACTCTCCTACGGCTCGTGAAAAAAACGTCATGCAACTGTTAGGCTGCGGTTACAGCTCATAGTTTGAGTCGGTAAACGACGGGGTTCAATTAGCTTCAACTTTATAGAGGCTTTAGGCTTTCATGCATTTGATCCTTCAAAATATTCCTGGGCTGTCCATGGCACTTAAATACATCGAAAATTTGACAAACACAAAAGAGTAAAAACATCATTATCACTCGATTTTGCTGGATGAAATCTCGTTCTGCGCCCCGCGTACAATCTTTCACTATTCAGCGACGCTTCTTTATGACGGGAATTTCTCGAGCTACACGAGATTTTCAGTTTACAACTTCAGTTGCATTTCACTCATTATTTTTATAGGTAACCTTAGTAAATTTTGTATATCAATTTCAATTTTTAAAAAGTTCTTTACAGTGGTGGTCTGATTATTAAATGTTCTCAATAGTTGCACAACATTATGCTTTATTGATATATGAAATAAAAAAGATATGTCACCAGATTCATTTTTCAGACAAAGACAATTTTGTGCCTAAAATATGCCAGTATTATAGCTTCGCCATGTTGCCAATGGCCACAGCGACATTGTCAAAAGCGAGTTCTAAATATTCCACTGATGTTAGATATTGCCAGCAGGTAGAAAAGAATGCACAATCTGCATTACTAGGCCTGTACTGCAGAGATGTTGGGCAAATAGGGAGCCACCTTAATATGCCAGGATTTAATGCAGGGATCTAATTGCGTTTGTGGAAATGAAAAGGATATTTTAGTTTCTATTGCAGCGCCAACACTCCAGAAGATACCAATGATAGGTTATATTATACTGCATGCATGTTTTGCATAGACTGATAGACTCTATAGAAATCAAATGTAGTTGGCCAATGACAATTACTGTCGTGTTTATTGAGGTTAAAAAATGAAAATTAAAGCCCAGCAAATGACTTTCAGACAAGACATAACAAAATATAAAATTTATTGGCTAACGTTTCGTTGTATAAATTATTGTTCACAAGTCACAACATCTTCAGAGCAATTAAACTTATTTACAAGCGTGTATTATATATATACAAATAGTTTCAAACGGTTACAGTATTCAAATAAGCGAATAAGAGGAAGGATGAAAAACAACCTGTCATTAAAAGTAATAGTATTAGCAAATTAAAGAAATAATGGTTAGTAATTAGAGACCTAGCAAAGCATTAGAAAAGGTCAAGAGGAGTTGACCTAATGTTAGCATTTAAAGTAGGATTAAGCTTGGATATGAAAAGGCTTTCGCGAATGAGTAGATCAGCTTCAGAACTATCAGTGGAAAGGATTTTAAAATCAGAGGGTGAAATTTGATGTTTAGTGGTATGTATATGAGCGAGTATGCCTGACATGGTTGAAACAGAACGTTTCTTTCCAGTCAAAGGTGAAACACCCATGTGTTCAGAGATACGCGTGTGTATGTGTCGGCGAGTTTGACCAACATACAATGCACTACAGCATTGACACTTATACAAATACACCACATGTGATCTCAGTTCATCGGGAATTTTGTCCTTAAATGGGAAGAAATTGGAAAGACGGAAAGAAGGACGAAAGGCGACACGTAAAGAAATGTGTGGATAGGCAGAAGAAAGAAATTTCTGAAGTTGTGATCGAATTTGCAAACCATGATGACCAGTGAAAGGAAGACAAAAATATATAACCTTTTTCGAGCAAGTATGAACTTTATCACGAGAATTATACATTTTATCAAGAAATGATTTGATACAACTATCCACAAGTGTTGCAGGATAACCATTAAGAGAGAAGGTTTTCTTGAATTTTTCCATTTCCGAATGTAAAAAAAAAATGAATACTGAATACTGTAACCGTTTGAAACTATTTGTATATATATAATACACGCTTGTAAATAAGTTTAATTGCTCTGAAGATGTTGTGAAGAATACAACGAAATGTTAGCCAATAAATTTTATATTTTGTTATGTCTTGTCTGAAAGTCATTTGCTGGGCTTTAATTTTCATTTTTAAATTACGCTTTCCATCCGGTGTATCAATCGCTACTATTTTAACCCATTAATGATCAGTTAACAGTTACGTGTGAAATAATTTTTTATATATTTATATAAAAAATATTGACGTGAAATTACCATCAAGTCATTTCTTGTGTTATTCATAAAACTCATATCATTCTTCCATGCAAGCAACACAATTAATTGCGTGGGCAGTTTCGATCCTATGGATACATAACACGTTCTTAAGTATGTAAATCTTTTTTTGTGCTTGTGAGAAATGTTTCGGCTGAATAACATCAATCATTGAACTCGCGGCAAGGACGCCGGAACTGGGGAGCAGGAGGGGCAGCCGCCCCGTTGCCCTTTACCAGGAGAGGCAAGGGGGCCAAAGGTGCCCTTTCAATTTAAAGGATTGCCTTGGCGAAATAGCGAATTGTCAGAAATGTTAGTGCAATTATTTTACGAATTTGCTTCAGAAAACGCAAGAAATGCATGCAGTCATCGAGCTTCAAGAATAGCACAATCGCCTGGAGGATTAGGCGAAGTTCATCTCTCGATGATTTGCAAACATCTCTTAGTATATATCAATTCAAAAGTGCTCTTTCTTGAAAATCTGCCCCCCCCCCTTGCCTTCACGTCGTTCCTTGACTCGCGGTAAAAGTATCCGACTTTTAATGCTTCCCACCCGGGATTATTATACTAGATAAATAAATCATGAGCATGCATATTAATAGTTTTTACAGTACAGTACTGCTCAGAAATAACCTAACACAAAACGCATTCGGAACGCGTCCCGAAATGTATGCAAGCTATTTGTATAATCTGCAGCTACTGTTTGTTGTGACTTTCGGATGCCAAAATCAACGGTCTGTTGTATGTTGCCTGTCAGGACTAAATGCCGCTTTATTTTATTTTGTTTGCCGTAGTAAAATTGGTACTATTCCTTTGTGTGCAAACTGTCTAATGTACTTACAGTGTAATGTTGTCCTACGAGATTTACGTCTTAGACTAAACATATCGACTTGTACTTCTATGAAAATAATATGGAATTGAGAAACTTACTTTTCATATTCAGGTTATTGAATATTATTCGCTATTTTTTTGTTTTTACAGCTTATAGTCATGCTCGTTTTGTTAAAACTGATTATAAATTAACGTAACAGAGTAACACACACCATAAAACTATCCTCCTGAAGCTATTTAAATTATTCAATGCAGACGATTTTCTAATAATTACACAAAAAGCTATCCCGTTTTCTATACGATTTACCCATTACCAAATTATAGGTGCGTACGTGTAGGATGCATACATAAATAATCGAAGTGTGAATTGCATATTCTTATGAAAAATATCTCAATAACATCTGATTGATTAAACTATTGTCGACAGCCATCCTGTGGTGGCCATTTTTGTTAGGTTCAGTTTAGGTTCAGCTGATTATAAATTAACGTAACAGAGTAACACACACCATAAAACTATCCTCCTGAAGCTATTTAAATTATTCAATGCAGACGATTTTCTAATAATTACACAAAAAGCTATCCCGTTTTCTATACGATTTACCCATTACCAAATTATAGGTGCGTACGTGTAGGATGCATACATAAATAATCGAAGTGTGAATTGCATATTCTTATGAAAAATATCTCAATAACATCTGATTGATTAAACTATTGTCGACAGCCATCCTGTGGTGGCCATTTTTGTTAGGTTCAGTTGAGGTCAGTCGTTGATTTTTAGTCCAGTTTTATTTTGATTGACAAGCGATATACAGCAGCACAAAGTTGGCGTAACCGAAGCAAAGCGTTCAATTTGGCTTTGTCAACCTGACTCGTGTGTGTACGTGAGGGGTATTTTAGTACTTAGTACGAGATTCAATGCAGAGATCTAATTGCGTTTGTGGAAATGAAAAGGATCTTTTAGTTTCTACTACAGCGCCAACACTCTAGGTAATCGCTCTTTTTGTCATAAAATATACACTTATGATTTAAACATGATAGTTCCAGATATAAACGCACAAAGAAGGAAATTGTTTTGCACATGCATGGATTGTGACGAAGGATTCCAATGATAAATCACAACATGTTTTGTATAGACTGTTAGATTCTAGAAATCAAATGTAGTTGGCCGATATTGACAAGTACTGTTGTGTTTATGAGATTAAAGAACTAACCTGTTATAGCGATCTGTTATCAGTTACGTGTGAAATATTTTTTATATATTTATCATGCATAAATGTTAGTCACGAGACTCAGGAATACGAGACTACTCAGGAATACGAGACTCAGGCTTCAAACTCTACAACAATTCGTCAAAGAAGTATTGAATTTATCCGATGGAGTATGGAGCTCTCCCGGCGGAGATGCGAAGCAATACAAATCTAAGGAGATTGATATCAAATGGTATCCTGACACACAGTCAATAACATTGGCTGGGAAGCTGAAAGACGAGCTAAAGCTAAAATTAATCTCCCTAGCTTCGATTTCAGAGCAACTGGCAAAAACCCCCGAAGCCTCTGACCAAGACGACTTTAGCGACGGACATGAGGGTCATGTTGCTTCGCCTATGCATCCTGATGTTGCTTCGCTTACAAGTTCTGATACCACTGGGGACTAACAAAATGTTGCCGAAACAATCAGAATAGAGATGAAAACCCTGAAAAAAAAGCTCGCAAAATTTCAAAATGCTACTAACTCGGCAATTAAAGATCTCAGGGAAGCGTCTATTAAGATATCTGACGAAGATGAGAACGAGAATAAGGATGAAGAATTAAAAAACCTACGGCAGGAAAATGCGAAAATAAAGGATGAAAACAAAGCCTTAACTGAACGCATCAACAATCTTGCATACACTTTAGCAGATTTGAATAACAAAGCTAAAATTGCGGAAAACGAAAAGGCGAGCTTGGTTTGTGCCCTCAGTATCCTACAGGATGATTCTAAATATGCCTCAATTGCCAAACCAAATCAGCAAACAGCTCAATGGCTTCTACAAGAAAACCGACATGGCAAAAAGAACCGCGTGAACAGCCCAAGGAAAGTACTAACTGCCGATAAACCTGAAATGATTGATTTCGCCGGGACAAATAAATATAACCCATTACAGATTTTATCAGAATTACAGAATGACGATGATGCTGGGCTAAGTAACGAGGCAGTTTCTCCTGCTATAAATGAAAGCTACCAGAGCCCAACCCTTGAAAAACCAAAAGGACAATCTAAGGAAAAATCAATGAGAACTAAACCTAAACATAATCAGCAGAATAGTGGATCAAATTCTACTGAAAGCCCAATAGCCATCGTGGGCGACTCCATGATCAAAATGCTCAATCCATCACGGTTACGGCGCTCGATCGGCAGAAGACGACAGTAAAGACATTTCCTGCAGCATCGGTTACTGATATGAACCATTATGTGAAGCCTACTCTTGAAAAGAACCCCGAACTCATTGTGCTACACGTCGGGACGAATGACATCCACCAGAAAGAACCAGAAGAAATTGTCAAGGAAATGGAATCTCTTTGTACAGGTATAGTAACGAACAGTTTACCTAAAGTTGCTATTTCGGAAATCATACAAAGAGAAGACGAATCAATAAACATAAAGATAAATAACACGAATAATCTTTTAGCTAAGCTTTGTAGTAAATACAAGTGGGCAATTGTCCAGCATGGTAATATTAACATATCTAATCTTAATGCCTCTGGCTTGCACTTGAATATAACAGGTACAGCAACACTAGCAAAGAACTATATCAACTTTTTAAAGCATTGACTAAGTCTTCCAAAGGTCAATGACCTAGAATATATCTACCATATTTGTAGCATAATTTATCATAATCCTGACAAAACAAATCTTGAAAATTTAAATCAAACTCCTATGGCAACCTCAAATATTGATACATTAAGCAATAACTCCTTCAAACAAGATGAATTAGTACCAACAATTCGTGGCTTTAAAATAGCCAGCTTAAATATTACTAGTCTGCCGAAACATATAGACGAATTAAGTGTCGCAATGAGAAATAATGAAATTGATGTCCTTGCAATTAATGAAAGCAGAATGGACAACAGTATAGCACCCGAGTTAATAACAATACGTGGCTACAACTGGGTTTCCAAAGATAGAAATAGATTTGGGAGTGGTATTGGTTTCTACATTAGAAATACAATAAATTATTGTCTTAGACCAGACCTAAATGATAATGATCTTGAAATTTTAACAATTGAAATTATTAAAAACAAAGGTAAGCCATTTCTAATTACTACATGGTACAGACCGCCAAGCGATTCAATCAGCACTCTATATAAATTTGAGAGTTGTTTAAAATTAATTGATAACGAAGACAAAGAAAGTATTATCTTAGGGGATATTAATTGTGATCTCCTAGACAACAATCCCACGTCACTAGTATCAGAATTAAAATTTATTACAAATCTATATCAATACGAACAATTGATAAAAGAACCTACTAGGGTTACAAAAGATACTTCATCCCTTATAGATCATTTTTATACAACAAACACGAACCATTACCAGAAATATGGGACAAGATGGCGCATATTACGCAATAATTGGACAATATGGCGGCTAAATTTTAATAGAAACTATATAGGAGTAAACAAAAATATCAAATTTTTACCTACTTTCATCAAATAGTTCATGTTTGCGGAGCTCGATTTCAACAAAGACATGTATAAGCAACAAATCTAACACGAATTTGCATCATTTCGCCAAATCGCAGAGGTTCCTGAGATAAATGTGATGAAGTCGTTTATTTGATGCGTATCACAATACAATTTATAGTAATTTATGTTACACATGAGGTAAAACTTCGTTGAATACGCCAACTTCCATTCGGGTATTGCAAAGTGCGGAGCTCGCAACGAATACTTCAATGTTTGAATTGTTTATAAATTTAAATCAAAATCAGTTCAGATACAACCAACAGGTGCCCAGCTGAGTTGAATTTTGGCTTTTTCGATCACGTAACCACTGAGAAATGTCATCTTTCGCAGGCTACTTTATCTAACAAATGCTTCGAGTAAAGCCTTCTTTGCGTAGCCATCTTTGTTTTTGTCGTTTGAAACTAGTTACTAGTCCTTTTAGCGTTAAATACAGCCTCAATACTTCATGTTATCCGTGTGTAACTCGTTGATTTTCGTGTTTTTGTACGTTGCTTTCCCGCGTAAAAATCAAAATGTCAGATTTACTAGAAGACTACAGAAAGCGAAAGCTTGACTGGAAATTGAAATTGGTTACAGAATCACCTTTAAGTTATGTGAGGCGTCAAGCAGATTTAGTGAATGAAATCCTGTTCTGTGTGGAAATTCCATGGGGATTACTTAATTTATGGAAAACAATTGTAGAGCACACTTCCTGTGAAAATGCAAATATTTATAATTATGGTGATCTTGTTAATGCTACTGTTGTCGACCAATGGTGTAAAATAAAACGTGATAATCAACGCATTAACGAATTGCTTCGTAAGCAGTGCAGTTATGTTAGTTCTGTTCATAAAAAAGCCAAGGGAAGAAAGAAAAACAATTTATTAAATGATAACGTCTATAAGCTCAGTGTTAAGCGAGGGGAAGTGGTTGAAGTGAAGTCAAATCAAGAGTTGGATTCAAAGTTGCAATTTGTAAATGAAGAATTTGAGAATTTCAAAAGGAACTACAATGATTTGGATAAGGCCAAAACTAAATTATATGAAGAAATGTCATCTGAAATCATTAAATTAAAAGAAGTGCAAGAGCTGACAGAAGTAAACAAAAACTTAATTGATTACATTGACACTCTGGAAAAAAATAACTCCATGAAATGTCAGGGGAAAAAATTCCATGAAGTTGGGAAAAAGCAACAATCACGAAAGCTCCGCTTTCTCAAAAATAAAACCCAATGTGCTCTGTGGTTTTGTGAGAGTTTTGGCTTAAAGCTTACGAGTATTAAACTGCAGGATGAAGAAGGTACAATTTCTTCTCTTAACTATCAATAATCGCCTCCCAGCATATCTGATTTGAGTTGTGATGACCATAGTAATCTGGAGAAAGTTCTGTTTCTTTTGGACAAATTCTGCGTAAGTGATGAGATCTATCATGAGTTAACGCTTGTATCCGAAGAATTGCCAAGGTCATACCTTATCAAGCAATTAAGATCAAACTTAAATAAAACATATCACATTGAAAGAACATCCGGACCCTGTCCAGGTGCTATGATTAATGTTACAACAACCATTAAAGATCACGTGGAAGTACCACTGGCAAAGAAACCAGAGCTAAAGGGACAGACAATTAAAGTTAAAATAAGTGGTGATGGTGCCAGGATGACTCGGTCAACCAATTTCATGATGTTCTCTTTGGCACTTTTACAAGATGATAATGTTATGTCATCGAAGAGTAATCGAACCATTGCAATAATTAATGGAAAGGAAGATTATGAAACAATTGCAGCATCATTACCTACGTTTTTCCAAGAAGTCAATGGACTGATTGAAAGCGGCACTATGCTCATTGATGACACAGAAGTCAACCTAGAATTTTTTCTTGGGGGCGATTTAAAATTTCTTGTCATGATTATGGGTATTAACTCTGCAACTGCTAATTACTCCTGTTTATGGTGTAATATCCACAAAAACAACAGATGGGACACAAGCAAATGTTTTAACTTTTACCATCAAAATAAACAAAAGAGGACCCTAGAAGATATAGAGAAGCTCTGCTCTAAGAAGAGCGACAATTATGGGTGCATCAACCCTCCTCTGATCAAAATAGACCTCGATCATGTGGTTCCCCGATGAATTGCATCTTTTGTTAAGAATAACTGATCGGCTTCTCCAGAATGTTATAGATGAAATTTTAGAAAGAGATGCAATACTAGATTTTAACAAACCAAAGGGACAAGCAAAGGGTGTTTTGTTGAATGAATTTGTTAAAGACATTAATGAACTTGGGGTGACCTTCAACACTTGGTATAAGAAGAATGCTGATGGCACAGCTAGCAATATTTTAGAATATACCAGTTGTGTTGGGGCGCAAAAGAAACTCCTTTTATCAGAGCTTCCAAATATACTACCGAAGTATCTCTTCCCTGATACTGCTGATGTGGTAACAAGCATTTGGTCTGAATTCAAAAATTGCTATGATTTAATAACCGATTCATTGTTAACCCATACTTCATGCTACGATGTATTTCACAAAGCCAAAAAATGGATCGAATTATTTTGTTCACTTAGACAAAAACGTGTAGGGTATCGCAGAGATAATGTCACTCCTTACATGCATATCATGTGCTACCATGTTCCAGTATTTATTGAAAAATATGGCTCTATTAAGCAATTTACAGGACAAGGCGTAGAAAAGAACAACGATGATGCGAAACGCATGGTGTTTCAGAAATCAAACAAATGGGACAGTGTAAAAGATGTTCTTTGTACAGAAAGTAGACAGTGGGATCTGAAGAACTGCCAACGTCAGAAGAATTGCTATACAAAAAGAAATCTTGAGTACTGGGATGAGACAATCAAGAGACAAAGGAAAGAACGGAGACAGCTTTCCAAGCCAATTGTTATTACTGCAGATGTCAATGCTACAGTTGATGCTGAAACTTGTTCAAGAGCTGATTACAGCAATTTTACTGTTTCTCAATTAAGACAAAAAGTGAGAGAAATGGGACTAAACCGACAAGGACTTGCTAAAATGAAGAAAAATGAACTAATAAATCTACTTCAATGTTAACTGAATGTACTGATATTGACTGTCAAAAGGTTGTTTTTTTGCTAACTTTATATGAGATATTGGTTTACAGTCGCGTAGCCAGCCCGACAATTTAGTCCTGCTATGCAAATTCAAAATTGTTATCATTATTTATTTCTTTGAAATTGATTGTTTTCACGAAATTATTTGAATACGAAATTATTTGCATAGCGGGACTAAATTGTTGGGCTGGCTACGCTACTGTTGGTTTAGCATTTTTGGTGCTACAGTACTTACAATTAATTGATTGTTAATAAATCGATGGCACCAGTTCATTTGGTGTTATTTTGAAATTAATTTTTCTTGAGTATAAAACACTGTTTCCATTGGCAAAGTTCAAACTTTTATTGAGTCTAATGTTCAGTGGCAAAGCCAGACATTAAATCTAGGCAAGCTATGAAAATTTATAATTAATTCTATTATTCAAATTTACAGAAAGGCCTTGTTTGCAAAGTAGTAACAAAAAAAATTATTGGCACAGCATATCAAGTAGCTATGTCTAGCTTAGCCACTGTGAATAATTTCGAATGTACATGAATTAGCATCCAAATGCAACTTTAACAAAAGTTAAAGAAATCTTCTCGGTCAAAGCACAAGGTACTTCCATCCTTCCCCCTTTGCGTACAAAGCTTTTGCGGGAACGAGCAAGAAAATGTCTCATCTTGACAGGAAAGTTTATTTTAATTCCATCACCATGTTGATCAAACAAGCAATTCCAGTACTTGGGAAGACGGCATTTTGAAAAATCATTTTCTTCAAATAATATATACCCCCTCTGCTCAGCTTGTTTTCCTTTTCCAACAAACAAGAACTTGTAGACATCATGCCTAAAGTCTATAGAAATCCGTTGTTGAGGTCCCTTTCGTTTGAGGCAGCTCAAAATCTCCCTCCGTAAACGGTCCACGCAGTCAAGTACAACATCTTGTGAAGGATCAGGCTTTTCAAAATACCTAATAAAAAATTAATACAAGATTTAAATTGTATGCACTATAGAATTAAGCCTTTCTCAAACACTGTGTTACCTTGGACCTGTATGGAAAATTTCATTGTCAACTTTTCAATAAAAAACAGTTGTTTTAAAACAAATATCTCATCTTACTACACGCTTCTACGTTTTTTATAAATACATACCTCAACAACGCTGGAGAAAGATGTCCTTGAGGTTCCCAAGTGTTGTCAAATGAACTATAACCAGCCCATTTAACAAAGTACTTCCATCCCTTGAGTGAGGAAACAAAATATGGTGAGACTATTGATATTAATGCCATACAACTTGTCTACCTGGGCTATAGTGTTGCACAAAAGTCCTGCATTTCATATTTTATTTAATACGAAAATTATATAACCACATGAGTGACATGACCCAAATTTTTACTGCTCTATTTCATACCTCTCTGTCTTTCCTGCGAGCAATCAAGCGCTCGGCTTGATATATGCCAACTGTCCTTTGTTTTTTCCTTTCATCGTACAGCAAATCAACTGAACTTATATTGTTTAAAACTTCATATGCAACACGATTCCTCACACGAGTTTTACCAGAACGCACCGCCATCTTGTTTTAGAATCCTATTATCAGGCGCGAAGCCGCGGACTAGAGTACGGGCGCGTAATGTCCCACATTTCTGGTAATGTATTGTAATATGAATCTATGATTGCCTGATCTTGTGTCACAAAGAGTGGCACCATCCCATATATATATTGTCAGAACAACCTGCCATGGCCTGTTTTGTGACATGAAATTAGACAACACAGTAAACCCCCTGCATATATAATAAGAACCTAGATTTTTTCCAAGTTAGCCTAAACAGGTTCTTATGTGAATGGGGCTAACCTGACTGTTCATGTCACAAACTGCAATTATATTTAGTATATTCAGTATTTTCAGGGGGGCATAAGCCCTTGAGTCATATTCATGCCTATCCCCTTGGATATATGTGTGTTAATAATAATTGTTTATAAATTATTTGTATTATCATATAACCCAATAAATCTGTTAAGAAAAAGAAAGATTCGTTGATGTAAATAAAAATTTCATCAGTGTTTCCTGAGCATTCTGATGAGCTCTGATATAGAGTGAAACAAGCATATATTTAGCAATTGTCCTGTGTTTTGAAGAGACATGATGAACTATTAATTAAACGTGGTCACTAGATTGACCAGAATTGTTGAAGTTAATATTACTATTAGATCATTCAGTGTCACAAGAATATCATCATTTAGTGTCAATATGAGAGTAATATCAATGAATTCATATTTCCAGTTCATAATTTCAAAACATACATTTTTTTAAACAAAAAAGTTTAATATAATCTTAGTGTCTCGTACTCTCGTCACTGTCAATCTATTGTCTATTGAACTCTTCTGTTGTTTATAACGAAATCATCTCCATAGCGCGCACGAGCTTGAACAACAGCTGTTTATCCAGCTTTTACACAGTCAAAAATTTCGCCCTTGGCTTTGCCACGCAGACAGGAACTGCAGCCACTTTCTCAATCACACTTGTTTCGAATTTCGTCAAGCGAAAAGCTTTCCCCAAGCGCTTCTGTCATATTAATGACAGCAACAACACTGGCAACATGTTTCGAGGGATTGATACCGCATTAACTATTTTCATGATGGGAAACAAACTCCAAAGGTAAACAACACAAATTATTCGAACTCAGTCAACTCACACCTTCGGGATTTCGATTTGCCGCCCCAGCTGTTGATATAACAAGTCACACAAGGTTCAAATTAAGCAGCCTCTTTATAACTTTATTCACGATGTAATACAGTTAAAAAGTTACAGTATAAGATTGTGTTATTGTGTACAAAAATTTCCAGTGCAGAAATGTACAAGAAATGAAGCGAAGTATTGTCAAACATTGCACTCCTCGGTCACAAATTATGTGGTATGTTACTTTGAACTTGTCATATACTTCATCTTATATAATTAATGTGGATCAAAACAAAAAACGTAAACAAAGCCCGTGCATGCGCAGAAGGGACTGTAACCTACCTTTAAATATTTGGTCTGCTGGGTATTATTTGATAACTAATTTCACAACAAAATCGTTATTTGTAGGTTGAATAACTGCTAAATTTAAGGGTTTTGTGACATATCAACAGTTTAAACAAAAATGGGGTTATAAGTATATCAAGAATTATAAAGTTACTTTTTGTAGAAAGCATTTTTCAATATAATCCATAGCCATGATTGTTCAATGTTTGAAACAATACCTATTCTATACTGTATAAAAATAAATGAAGTGCAAACAGTCAACTCCAAACAGGTTTCTCCTGCAGGATGGTAATAGTTGGAATTGAATGAACTGAAACAATTGTTGATAATTCACAGCTGTCTGAAGAACTGATTTCGTCCATTTGCATAACGTTTTAAAAACTGCATTGATCCATTTGGTCACTAATAATTTATATACGATTTATACATGTAATGATTTGAGTATGTAAAAATACTTGTTGATACTATTTTAATGAAATTTGACAAATGAGATGTACTAATTATGGTGAGTATTGTGATTTAATTTTTAACATTTGACAAATCAGGTAACAGCTGTGAAGTTTAGGTTTATATGCAATAATTTCTCAAATGAACAACTGCAGATTGCACTCATCTACTTAATAATTAGCCAACTCGTTTAGCTTAAAACGGTGATTAAGCTCAAAATAGAAAGCAAGTCTATAGATTCATTCAACAACCAAACTAAAAGTTTTGAACCTTAATAGAATGATAATGTTTACAACTACACATTCAGTGCAATCTTTAAGTTGACTGATTCTTGGGAGATATAAGAGTGTTATTTAATTTTGACTTATCCACCGTTTAAGCTAAACAGGCTTGATACAACCGGCCCCATATGAGTATCCCCATGTTTTGGGTATCCCTGTACTTGAATCACTAGTGATTTTCGTACCCCCACACAGAGGATACTGTTACCTATTAAAACACTGAAAGAAGTTGGAAGAAAAAATCGATATTCTGCTGCTTTGTTCTCACGTAGGTAGATAACAAATATTTTATGATGGGAAGACACTTTTAAAAGATAATTTTAGTCCCAATATATAAAAAAATAAACGAAACCCAAAAATCATTTGAGTAGCAGCTAAAATACAGCAGCTGGGGGTACCAAAATCACTAGTTATTTCCCAAAACATGGGGATTATTAATTACAAAACTATTAATTATGAATTGAGGATAAAGTATGAGAATTTATATAAACAACATGTGAGACATATATTTGTATCAAAGCCATTAAAAGCTTACCTAATTGATTCTTGATGTTGCCAGACTTTGAGATGACTTTGAAGAAACATCACTGTCATATGTACTTTCGTGAACAAATGGAGCGAAATGTGCCAAAAAATTGATCAAGCCTGGAAGAGAACTGCGCTTGCAGACTACAAATAAAATATGAATAATAAACTGTGCAGGAGACTCAGACTTAATTGATGACAAAAACAATGACCATCCTCGTCCCCAGGCCCAAGCTTGGGCAACCCTCACAGTGGCCCTGGTGGAGGCTGTTGAGCAGTTGATTGTGATTGGTTCTTTTGCTGTAAAGGAATGTGGGGGCAAAGGAAATGCGGGTTCACAATAAACACGCTAAGAGTAAAATTATGGTAGAAATATTAGATATTTACATGTAAATTTTGGCATGTTGTAAAACACAGAGTGGATTTGTAAAACACAGAGTCAAAACTTGTAAAACATGGAGTCAAAATTTGTAAAACACAGAGTCAAAATTTGTAACTGACGTCATTTGTCACTGTCATTCTATTACATTATACTATTTTATATAATATAGTTGAATTCCAGCAATATAACCTGTCGAAGTTTCTATTACTTGAATCAAGACTGTCCGTAGCCAGGAAATGTACTATTAAGACAGTGCTGTGTTTATAGCTGTTTATAAAGTGCTCAGTACACAAAAACACGAAATATTTTTACTGTGAAATTGGAGCAGTGTGATGCTCGTCTAGCTACAAATTTACTAGGAAACATGCATCTATCAACCAGTCAACCCTCGAGTCAACCCACTTTACTTTCCCCCAAACGACGCAACCAATTGTTGTGCATTTCTTTCTCTTGGAATTTGTGACCGATTGTTACACAGCACTGACTTATGTCAACAAGCAGAATGGGAACATGTGCGTGGAATCGTTGAGGATTATCTTTACTCTTACTTAAAACGTGAATAAGCACTGTGATATTGGACAATTTTATGATGTTGCAGAAGCTCTTTCCATTTTATCAACCAATGACTTGCTTTTTGAGGAATAAACTTTCTGAGGAATGCTTATCAGCCAACAAAGTTTTCGTCAGCTGGAAGAGATGAGATAATGGAAAGTTTAGCATGGAAGGTATCGCAAGGCGAACTGTGCATTGGAATTTATACCTATAGCCTTTACAATATTTATAATAGGTATTTGCAACAATGCTGTATTTCTCATCAACACCCATCCTCTAAATGAAGAGCTTGGTGGAAATGGTAGTGGTCTTCTAATGGTGACTCCAGATCAAGCTATGGGTCATGTAAATCAGTCATACAATGACTATGACAAAAATTAACAATGGCTGACATCACAGCAAGGTTAGTAAGTTTGAATAAATAATACATCACAATGCATGAAAAAGAGACTGCCAAGCCAGCTTTATTATTTTTTACAAAGACGATGGTTCATAACATTTGAACTTTCGATTGTAAAGTTATGTCTTTTAAGTATGTGATATATCATGACAAACAAGACCAAAACTTCTGATGGCACCAGAGGCCTAAAAGAAAATAGCCAGAGTGCATTTGATAAACCAGTACAGGTTTTATTTCTGAGGTTAAGTTGTTAAAAGGCTTTAAAATAGCTGCGCTTAACATTACTAGATTAACCAAGCATATTGACGAACTCAAAGTAGTCATATTAAATCAGCCTTTTGACATCTTCACAATAAATGAGACAAGGTTAGACAGCTCTTTTACGAATGCTGAAATAGCATTAGGTGGGTTACAATATTGTCCAGAAGGATCGAAACAGACAAGGTGGTGGGGTTTCGATATATATTCGAAACATATTCAATATATATTTGGGAATTGTGGAATTTTGAGGTCAAATAAATCAATAGTGAGCTTGAGATATCGAGGTTATAGGCAAATTTTTAAAACCTTTTCTTATTACTACTTGGTATAGGCCCCCAGTGAGCGAAGCTAGTATTTTAGACAACTTTGAAAATTACTTACAGAGCCTAGAAAAGGAAGACAAGAAGTCTATTATATTAGGGGACTTTAATTGCAATATATGCTTGAAACACAAAAAACACAGAATACCACTAAGCTAGTGTCTTTGTATGATGAATATCAGTACAATCATCTTATTAAAGAACCGACTTGAGTAGCTAAATTCAGCAAATCCCTTATTGATCATGTCATTACTACAACGTATACGGAAAAGTGGTGACCATAACTTAATATATGCAGTGCACCAAATGGTGATGCCATGAGAACGACCTCGAATTATCCAGGCTAGAAACTATAAATCTTTTGATTTAAATGCTTTTTCCAAGGACCTTGAACAACTAGTATGGGCAATTATAGAAAGCTTTAGTGATCCAAATGACATGTAGCACACATAGAAAAATCGATCTCGAGAGATCGACAGCTAGAAATTTCATACCTTCGGTTCAGTGCATGCTATGAAGACAGAAATATCACCATTCGATTCAGAAATAAAAGATCAACTAGTTCCAAAACATAGTTATAGTCATTATTAACATTGTAACGATTTATGGGCCTTTGAAAGTCAAACGTGATCGTATACTATCAAATTACGCAATTCTCTGAACAAAAATATAGACTAGCCATACCCTTCGCCGAAAATAACTTCGGCCCCTTTCGAACACATTATCTTTGTAATAGTCTTGTTAGAATCTTGTTAAAAACACTATTTAGAGTGTTATTGCAAGCCTGTATCTTCAAATCTGTATCTTTTATCAATATATTTCCATTTCTTGTCCGACTGTGAGCTCGAAGTGAGTTAATCCCAACCGGAAATACGTCTGAAAACCGTCAAAACAATGCGACGTTTGTATCGTATGACCCTGGTTATTCACAAGGTCAAATTGCACCTACATGTGTGAGTTTGACATCATCCCGGCCACAGGAGCTTCTTATTGGCCAATTATTGTGCAATGTACGCAAGTGCGAGTAAAACCTGACATCTTGAAAAATGCAAAATAAATATTTCTACTCGCCGTATTCAAACGAAATTTTGTATACGAAAGCGCTTGAATACAAAGAGTATTTTACACATATAGCTGTTCAGACAATGACGAAAAGTTCAAGAGATATTCAAGATTTTCTGGATATGAAATTTAGAATCTTTGGCCAAGCAGTGAGTAAATATATGATTGTTTCGGTTTGTGTAATGTTTTGATGGCACTTGACCCCAGTTCGAAAGGTTATTTTGTGAGGATTACAATGGTGGCTGGCTTTTATTTGAAAGGGGGGTAAATACTCGCCGAGATATTTATATTAGAAAAATTGTGTTGTAATATGATGCAAAAGGGGGTGGTCGAGAAAGAGTTAAATTAACAGTGTGTTAGACAACCATGCACCAGTTAGGACCAAGCATGTCAGAAACCTGGATGTGCCTTGGATCATAAGCAATCTTAAAAAAATGTTTCTCTCAAAAACGAGCAATCTCAAAAAATGAGCTGCAAAAACTCAATCTGATTCTGCTTGGCGTGAGTACTGTACCATGCGAAATAGAATAAACTATGAAATAAAAGCAAGCAAAAACATGCAAAAAAAAATGAAAAAAAATTATTAATAAATACTAATATTACAAATACAAATATTTGTATGAGAAATTGGTTATAGTAAACATTACAGATCAATTATAGTTTTCACCTATGGTTTAGTAACAAGTCAAAACAAAAACATAACCTAAAGAAAACAATTGCAATCAATTATATGTACACAAGTGCCAATTAATCTTTCTACCTCAATGCAATGCCATATTTATTCACCTTTGTTATTAAACGATATGTAATAACCATAATTGACATGTAAAGTTAATTACATTAACCTGCAGAGCTTCCCCATTGACAAGTAAAATTGTCTGGCATTAGACAAGTACAAAAAATAAGTTGGTACATAAGTAGGTAACATTTCGTACTCAATATTTTTATATACCAAATGTTTTTTGAATATGCCCATTTTACGAATTATTTGCTGGGGGCAATAATATTTTTAATAAATAGAATTCAATTTCCACCTGGTGTTTCTGTTTTTGACTATTGTTCTTGTTTGCCTTTCTGCACTTTGAATTGTTTATTTTTGTCCTCATGTGTTGGCGAACCTCCAGGGACGTCACAAAGCCATCAACATTGGGGGGGTGTCGTCATGTTTTGACCAACATTTCCTAGGATTTTGACCAAGTCATACAAGTTTTTCCCAAAAATGATGTCAAAGGGGGGGCGGAGGAAGGTCAAAATTTTTCGACCAACATAAGCAAGGCTTCCAATTTTTTCACCACAAACATAACAAAAGCTTTAAAATTGTTAACATTGCAAACCATTTCATAACTTTGAGCGACTTCGACCATTTTTATCCCGAATTTTACCTTAAATTTTAAGCAAATATTACTTCCATTTTGACCAACTTTGGGCAAATATCAGTTTCATTTTGACCAACTTTGACCAACGTTTGAATTATTGGTGGGGTGTTACACACCCCCCCTATAGTGACGTCCCTGCGAACCTTTGAGGCCTTACATCCGTACTTTGTTGATACATCGGCAATAGAAACACCAGGTGGAAAACGAATCCTAGTTAAAATTCCGAAAACGAATCCTAGTTAATTCGTAAGAGGCATATTCAAAAAAACATTTGATATATAAAAAAATATTTATTAAGTAACGTTTCATCACATTACAAGCAACATCATCAGACTAAATACAGTTAAGCTATTCATCTATTTTATAACAAATTTTGAAAAAATATATGATATATACGATTACAAACAGTTAAAAAAGGAGTATTTTAATCCCCGAGCCGACGGCACCGTGCGAGGGTACTAATTCACCCTGGCTATTTACCCCTGGGGAAACGAAAGCATTAGTGAAGTCTAAAGTTCATCAATCATTGCGGGCGCCCACCAACGATCTTGAGTGGGTGGTCATCCTCACTGATCTCAAGAATATGGCTGATTCCTTGTAGGAGTGGGATAAGCAAGATTTCAATTTTAAAAGACATATATTTGGAAAATCGTTTCATATACAACAAGCTTGAAGCAAGTTTGTTTGAAGAAATGAGAAGAATTGATTTACTATGGGAAATCGTGAAACATACGGCAAGTTTGCTTTGAATATTTAATGTTTCCGAATTTTGTTGCTTTAACTTTTTGCCTAAAAACATGAACTGTTTTCCTTTGAGAAAAAAAATTAAAATGTAAAGGCAAACAGATTGATTCGAAGACTGAACAGAAATTACCTAACAATTTGTTTTATTTGTATTAAACTTATGTTTTGTTAAGTAAAAACAGTTTATCAGCAAAATGTAGTTTACTTGAATGAACATTTCAAAACATTTTACGAAGCATTTCAAGTTAAATTTTACATTAAATCAAAGCTCACAAAATGCAAAATAATATACCTACAGTATACATTTCGAAAATTTATTGTTGTATATTTAAAAGTACGACTCTTTCAACTATTTTGCAGTTTTGTACAAAAAATATGAAAATAAAAATTTAAGAATATCGTGTTGTCATGGCAACACTTGAGCGCAAGCCTGCGTTCAGTGTTGGTCATTTCTGAATACTTCATGTTTAATGTTTGGAAAATATTGGCGAGGGGTTACTGCATGCGTGTATTTCTAGTACTTTGGGTGAAACATGGAAATTGATGAAAACTACATTCATTAGTCAGTATGCCGAAGATTACAAAATTATTGCTAACCAGTCTGGTGTCAGAACAGCCAACAAAGATAAATATGGGACAATGCTGCGTGATGCGTCACATTTTGATGATCACAATGGAAAAACACTTCACCTGATTACTGTCAATTACATCTGTTGGATTAATTCTGGTGAACTTCATTTTCTTTCGTATGATAAAACTGAGCAACTCACAAGATACAAGCCTGAAATTACTGACTGTGATATATTTTTGCCAACACGAATCTTGGACATATTCTTTGACATTGAAAATGATCCGTCAAATGAAATCTTACTTACCAATCGAAGAAGTAATGGAATATTTCAACAAGAACAGAGAGAAAGCTGAAAAAAGCTGCTGCGATAATATTGGATGGGAGACCTGGCGCAGTCATCCTCTTTATAAACATAACATGGCCGAATTTGAACAAATGTGCAAGAAAAACAATGTTTCATTCAAAGGTCATTGTTAAGGCCGTTGACACTTGCTCAAGGTGAAGACGTTCCAGACGATTTTCGAGCCGACTATAAAGGTGATTTCGGTTCGCTGCCAAAAAGTATTTCGATGTTAAAAAAGTTACCTACTGCAACTCTTCAGTATATTTTGAAATACCACAATTTGTTTTACAGCAGGTAAGAAAGACAATTCAGTCCTTTGTTTTTATTGTGAAACGGAAGATCTCATTTGGCATCTTATATGCAAGTATGCAAAATAAAGGACTTGATTAAATTGGTTCAATCATTGATATTGTACTAAGTAAATTCTGAAATTATTGATCAACTGGACGTTTACTGAACAAGAAAATTTCCAGGAAAGAATTTGGCAAAGAAATCCCAATTCCATATGGTGTCTCCAAGGAAAACTTAGAGAACTTATTTGAAACTTTATTAATATACCTGAACCATAAAACAAGTTCCAGTTCCAACATGAATAAGGATGAGAACAAAACTGGTAGTAAGGAAGTTCACTATATGAAGATTATTTCGAAGATGGCTCCAATGTAAAAACACGATAGACATCAGAGGAGATAGGAAATTCTGGATGGAAACCGGGTCAGTATTCGGTAGACGCACAGTCGTCCACAATTGAAAATGATGAAATTTCAGTTGTGTATGTCAGTGAACAAGACTGTGTTTATTCTGTGGAGGTGATGCCACTATTAGCTCTAGGCAAATTGCGTATGTAGAGCACGGTTCAAACAAAAACCAAAATAGGATGATTGCAAATGTCTAAATTAAGGCCTGTTTGCACTTGCGATTTTTGCTGCGATTTCTAATGCAATTTTCTCCTTCTGCTGTAAGTGAACGACTTGACTGATAAGTTACCAATGTTCTGAGTATATGTATACCCTCATCTGAACATTCATAACTTATCCACTCGTTCACATCCATCATCAGAAGAAAATTTGCACCTAAAATCACAGCAAAAATTTCAAGTGTAAACAAGCCTTTAAGATGATGAAAATTATGGATTAAATGTCTTTCAAGGCCAGAATGGTTTTTGAATGTCTTTTACAATCTCTGCATGTGTCACCGATGACAAGTTATAAATAGTTTCATTAATTACACAGTATAGACATATTTTGTGGCTTTTGAACTAACAAATAACTGAGTTATCTGCTGGCAAGCAGGTACGTATACTGTAACTCAGTTATCTGTAGGTTGAGCCAGTGGTATGCAAGAAGTAGCTAGGAAAAATATTAATATATCTATATTTGACAGTATACCAACACATTTATATATTACATAGGCATATCATATCGTCACTATGATGCTAAAATGTTTGAATTGAGACATTTCTGCACAAAAATCTATGGTCAGAACCTGACGTCATGTACTTATGTGATGTCACTTGTATATAGCTAGCATTCCATGGATATTAAATTTATTATTGCGATAACCACTCAAAGAGCATGCTCGTATTAACATACTATAAGAATACTACAGTCAGTATTCATTTCCAGCCACCTATTGTCATTGTTGGAAGATGGAACAAGTGTTAAATGGCTACATAACTAACCCCCAGAGAGCCTGCTCACAGGCTAAAGCCTACCCCTATTCTACCCCTAACCCCAACTATAACCCCAACCAAATTAATTAAAAAAGAAACAACTTTAGAAATTAATCAAATGACGTAATGTCTGCTTGATAGTTGGAAATAAGTGAAAACCAAAATGTACTTTGTTTGTTTGCTAAGCTTACATGCAGGCCTGTTTATGTATAATACATTTTATTCTGAATTTCTCAAATATTATACAGCCAGCAGTCTTTCTATACCCATTTTTGACGGCGATGTTGTTATTTTCGAGGGCTATATAAATTATTTTATTTATACCGCAACAGAATTGCACATTTCCAAATTTCTGATGCGCAATATTAAACCCTTTACGCTTATTCAGAGTCAGTGCTCTTTAATATTTTTGCTCATGTATCTGGCATTTATCCGGGGAGATGCTCAAATGAACAAATACAGAGTGCAACATATGCTGTGCTACTTTCATGTTTAATTTTACTTTAGTATACATTTAACCAGTTGACCAGTCTGGAATTCTTCAGGGGTTCAACATTTTCAGACTGGAATTCTTCAAGGGTTCATAAAAATCTCAATTCTTTAGGGGGGTTACAAAAGGGAGGTCCACAACAGGGGGGGTTCGGATTTTAAATGCAATAGCCCAATACACTATAAAACTCTTCAACTTGAGCTTCAACTTATTACTTGCACTTTGAAATTAAACAAATTTAATTTATACAAGACACCAATGAAAATAATTTGCTTTCCTTTTTATCATGAACTTCTAAAAAAATTAATTTAACTAAGAAACTTTTACATACAATGCATAGGAAAGACTTGAACAACAAGAACAAAATCTATATTAATACAAAGTCATACATAAACAAACTTGCCCTATACTTTAAGATTTATCATACTAAATCAATTGTTATTGTTTACATTTAAAAATTGAAAAAAAGTTTTACAATTTGTTATGTGAAACGATTTTCCAAGCTTTCTTACATGTATATTTTTCATTTTTGCCTTCTTCACTCCTGGCAAACAGCCATATTTTGAGATCAGTGAGATGACCACCCATATACCATGTGCCTGCAATCATTGATGAACTTTAGACTTCACTAATTACTCCCCTTTTCCTGGGTGTAAATAGCCAGGCAGAATTAGTACCCTCGCCTTACACCCGGTGTCACAGCGGATTTTGACTCCCCGCGGATATGGACCCCCGGTCCATATCAGCTAGCGGATTCGGACCCTTACACTACATATCCGCTAGCTGATATGTACCCCCTTCCGCTGAATTGGACCCCCTAAAATTCACAAAAAGAAGTTTTGAAACGATTTGCAGTTGAATGTGCATGGAAATTTAGGCGTCAGTTTAATTTAAATTATGATAACTAATGGCATGACTCAACTATCTTGGAATTTTCTTAATGACGAAAACAAGTTATTGAGATGCTAATTTTATAAAAATTTAGGGTTGAATGGAATGCATCACTTTGTTATGGGTATGTTAAGCAAAAAATAATTAGAAATATACTTTCATTTTCCGTTTTTATTTGAGCAGTTAAGAATCAGAGCAGATAGCAATTCCAAGGAGTAAAATACTTGTGAAGGCTTCATGCGCTTCTCAGTTCTTGCACATTCCAAGATCATAGAAATAAACTCATGTAGCAGAAAAATTATAAATCATAAACATTGACGGAATTCTCTAATCTAAAAATGTAAGATTTGATGATCTAAAAATCTTCGTACGGTTTTTAAAATAAATCAGATGAGATTCATGACGATTTAAAACGCTTTCAGTACAATATTCAAAATATGATATGTTGCCATGATAAAATATGCGAGGGGTCCAAATTCGCGAGGGGAGTCCAAATCCGCTAGCGAATAAAGACCCCCATAGGTCCATATTCACTAGCGGATATGGACTCCCCGGTCCATATTCACTAGCGGATTTGGACCGGGGGTCCATTTTGAGGTGGGTCCAAATCTGCTGGGACACCGGAACAGTCCTCTGTTCCGTTGGCTCAGGGACAATGTTCATGATATATTGACTTTCATAATAGCTTAGAAGTAGCAATTGATAAGAGTTTCCCCTTAGTAAAAATGAAACAAAAAGCTATTGACCATACAAAAAGTCCTGGGATGACAGGTGGTATTTTGAAATCTATATCCAAGAAAAACCAACTTTATAGAAACTCTTTGAAAAAGCCATCCTACAAAATTGATATGAAATACAGGGTGTATAAAAAAAAGTAAGACAATTTTGAAATTGCTCTCAATTCCACAATTCTGTTCATGAAATGTAATTTTTTATATGTATGGATTGCTTGAGTTCTTAAATTATGGAAAATATAAAAAAAATTGAAAATAGTAAATTTTGCAATCCAGGGGGGTGGTCAACTTTTGCTCTCCTAAAAGTGGCTTGTGCACGGAAATGACAAACGGGTATTCTTTATTTGAGTTCATGTATGAAAAGTTCGCTATTTGTTGCATTTATGATAAAATTTCGGCAGGATTTTACCGAGTACAAATCCTCCGAAAAGCCTATGAAAACGTTACATTTTTCTCTGTTCGTGCTGTTCTTGCTTCATTATGAATTCATTTTTACTCCCATGAGAGTTCCATGGAATTTCCATGGAATTTCCATGGAATTTGTGCTTTCGAGTTGTTTGTGCTGAAACGCATTCTCTCTTGTAATACCCTGTACACTTTGAAATGGCGATGCCACAATTTACCCCGCAGCAGAGAGCTTTTATGCATGGTATCAGAGTTCCTCCGTAGCAACAACATAAACTTGGTTCGCCAAAATTTCACAAACAAATATCCAGATGTACGATGCCCTTCACGTATTCGCATGTGAAGGGCATCGTTCATCTGCATATTCTTTCTTGAAACTTTGGCGAACCAAGTTTATGTTGTTGCTACAGAGGAACTCTGATAAAGGAACAGAGGAACTCTGTTGCTACAGAAAACAAAAATGCCTGACGCGTTTTTACTGAAGAATTCAAACATCAATGTTACAAACCCGGTTGATATTGCAAACAAATTTAATGAATACTTTGTAAGTGTCGGACCACAACTAGCTAAAAAAAATTCTAAGGACAGCAACACATTATTTGAAAGCTACCTTAAGGGCAATTATCTTGAAAGTATGTTTATTGAGCCTGTAACCGAAAATGAATTCCTAAATGAAATGATTAATTTAAATGAAAATAAAAGTGCAGGCCACGATGAAATAAATGCAAAAATGATAAAAGCAATAAACTCTGAAATACTTAAACCTCTAACTTACATCTATAATTTAACCTTCCTTACAGGGAAGATTCCAAAATTTC